GCAAGAGCAGCAACCGAAAGGGAAGCAGGGGCCAAAGAAACCTCCATAGCAGGAACAGGGGGCGCAAGCACTGAAACGGTAGTGGAAGGAGCAACAGAGCCAGGAGGAGGAGCTGAGGAAGAAAGCGAAGCCTTCTTACCCGCCGGGGAAGAGGAAGGAGAGGAGCCAGGCTTACTCTTCTGACTTAAAGAGACCGGTGTCCCAGCAACTACGTACAGGGCAACGGATTCCAGAGTCTCAACAGGAGAAGCCGAACGAGAGCACACACGACGGCCGTTAGGAGAGCGATGGACATCCGCCCGCACCGACAGGCGGCGGGGAGAGCCGATAGATGGAGGAAGAGGATGGGAAGGAGGATCGGAGGGGGACGAGGAAGGAGACACAGAAGACACGACAGACCGGGTAGAAGGAAGGGGAACCCCAGACAGAGGACCAGGAGGAGGATCCTTCGGGAGAGAACCCAAAGGGACAGAGGAGGGGGCAGTGGGCGCATCAGGGTCCAAGGCCTGGAAACGGTTGTGAGTCTGAGGAAGGCGGGAAGGACGAGGAGAGGAAGAGCGCAACACGCGAGCATAAGAGATATTAGCATAATGCGGGAGCCGGCGAACCTGGCGCCTCGCCTCAGGAAAAGATAAACGCTCCCGGTGCTTCAAGTTGAGGACGGCTGCCTCAAGCTTGTAATGGACACACGCACGGGAGAAGGTAGGATGGGCCTCACCGCAGTTGAGGCAACGAGCCTGGGGAGAAGCGCACTCCGACTTAGAGTGACCTTCGCCACCACACAAAGGACAGAGAGAGACAGTCCCGGAGCAGCGGAGGGCACCATGCCCAAACCTCCAGCACTTGTTGCAGAGCCGAGGAGAAGGAATGTACTCCTGGACAGAGCACCTGGCACCAGCAAGAATGACAGAGGGTGGAAGGGTCCTACCATCAAAGGTAACCTTCACAACCCGGAGGGGTTGACGGCGACTACCACGAGGGGGACGAGTAAACGTGTCCACCTGGAGAATAGAATGGCCCTGGGCAGCGAGGATATGTCGAATATCGTCGTGGCAGTCGCGTAGGTCCCGAACACCGGTCGCAACATGGGGCGGGAGCAAAATAGTGCCAACACTGGCATTCAACTGAACGTTCTTCGAGACCCGAACGGGGGTCTCGCCAAGGCAGGATAAGGCAGCCAAGCGGGAAGCAGCATCCTGAGAAGGAGCAGCAACGACACGTGTACCGAGATGAGTGGGGTTGAAAGTAATGGAGGCATCCACGGAATCAACGAGATGTCGATGGAGGGAGAAATCGTCAGGAGGCGCAGAATCAAGAGTGAGGAGATCAAAATATTTGGCCCACGAAGCGGGACCAAACAAGGCTTGATAGGTAGCAGAACTGGAAGGAATTGAGCGAGGGCGGCCGTGACGACGACGGCGGTGAGAACCCCCAGAGAGAGAAGGGTTAAAAGGCGCAGTAGTTACAACTAGAGAAGGAGCCGCGCCAGGGGACGAGGTAGTCACCACTGGGGGCTTGGGGCTCGACCCAACCACAGAGGAGGGAGGGGAGCCAGGGGAAGGAGTCAGAGGCCAAAGGAGGAGCAAGGTCGGGGCCCAATGCAGCGGAGGCTACAGAGCCCGGCCTTCCAATACGGACCGACTCGGGGGCTTGGTCGCCCACCCCACGAGCCTGAAGGTAAGCCAGAAGCAGCCGAAACAGGGGGTTATCATCTTGACGAAAAGAAGAATTCATTCACGAATGTGCCCCTACACCCACCATGGAGCCACAATTAGAGGCAGGACACCCAACAAGAAGCTATCGCCGATCTTGTCGGGGCCTCCTAGGGGTGCGTCGTGAGTATACGCCCCACAAACGCCACCTTAAGAAACCGACAGTCCGTCGAGATCGGGTTCAGTGACGAAAGGGGGATTGACAATAAAAGGTTACCCTCGCTCTCTACGTCGGGTACTACAGTTCTACGGGTGCAAGAGTATGCCTCCTCAAGCACCCGGGCGTCAAAATAGAAGTAGTCCAAGGGAAGAACCAGAACGAGCAAAAGGTCGGCAGGAAACGGCAAGCAGATAGAAGAGGGGGGAGAAAAACGAAACAGAAGGAAAAGGAAAAGATGCCCAGCAGAATTGGAGAGGACGGCAGCAGGAGCACAAGGCTAGAAAAGGACAGAGGACTGTCCCAAGGAGCATCATACTCCAGCAGCCGCCCACGAAGCCCCCACACGGCGACAACGAGCTGAGCGGGGAGGGGGTCGCATTTATGTAAATAATACATACTTAACATATCAATATTGAAAAATACTTTCTCAACTAAACTTTTATTGTGATTTTCATATTCTATTGTCTTCATACTTAAACTATACATTACTATTAATGATTAAGTATTCTTACTACTCAAATACGCTTTAAGTCTAAATGTTTATGACTTATTTCATACACTACTAATTGATAATATTCAATGATGATTATTCAAGTTTTAGTAATATTTCAATATTCCTTATACATGAACATTATACATTTATTTACTATTGTTACTTTTTATCATTACAATGCTTATCTACTTCATTATTCAATTATTATTTATACAGATCAATACTATTTTATTTATATTATCAACTATTACAACCACACTAACAAGATAATCAATATTATCAATTATTATTTATTACTACTACAGATTATATATACATTATTTCAATAATTATCAAAATAAGCTGGGAAGGCTATGTACCAACTTCAAATGCACACAATCAAAGGGCGCTAAAATTCACAATTGATGCAACAAACACCCACAAGCCAAACTATATCATAAGTATCCGAGTCGCAATCATTTCTATTGATGCACGAGGGGCGGTCGGAAAGCAACCAAGTCACCACATTCAAGAGGGACAATGAAACTAGGAAAATCAGGAGCAGGCCGGCGCTCCAACTCACCATGAGTTATGCGAGTACCGCCATTACGCAACTTCGCCACAGCCGTTTCCCACTGCCAATTACGGTGGAACGAGGAAACAACATTTAAGAGTACGTAGCTTCTTACCAACAAGCCTGCCAACGGGTAAGGACTGAGGAATGGATAACCGGGTAAAACTCGAAATATGCAATACCTTTACGAGAGATGCGACCACACCAAACACCTTCCTTGCCGGCAGCATCCGCACGCTCATTTCAAAAGACACCAATAGGGCTGCAAACCAAACAAAACTAAACTGACTTAAATTTACTGTCAACAAAAAAACACCCAATGCTGGATCACGAAAACTACTGGATGAACACGATTAAAGGACCATGAGGGCACTAAGAGAGTCAACTACAAACGAAGACTGACAACGATAAAGCAAGAGACGAAGAGCATGCATAAACTCCCGCTGTAAACATGATACTCTCCGCACGTAACCGACACATAACTCCGATAAGGAAAAACAACAGTAGCCAACACCGTCCGCTGACTTACACCCATCCGTGAAGACAAACACAGCGGCACTGACAAGACAAGTGCTCGAGGAAAAAGCGTTTTAGAACCGTAGGAGGGGTAAAACCCTTAGTGATACGGGTCAACGAAGTAAAAAAACAGCGTAATAGGGAATCTCCATGGGGGCAAAAACAAAACCGACAAGGAGAAACATTACAAATACGAACGGAAACAGAATCCTGGAGACGAGACAACCAGACACAAAGAGGGAGGTGGTGAAGAGGAACAGGAACCGCAGGAGGGGTAAAAAAGCACGACAGAGGCGAGACGAACGATGTTGTAAGGACCGCGCAAGATAGCGAAGACAGTAGCGTTCACGGCGGTCCTGGAGAGACAGGAACCCACTGTCAACATACAAGCTAAAGACGGAAGTCGAACGAAAGGCACCAGAACTGAGGCGCAAACCCGTATGGTGCAAAGCATCAAGACGGCGAAGACTAGAAGGAAAAGCAGACGAGTAAGCAGAGCAACCATAATCGAGCTTAGACAGGACGACAGACGAATGTAAAGCAAGGAGAGTGCGCCTATCTACCCCGAAGGACAGTAAGGGCCTTAGAGCACTCAACACGGAGCTAAGAGATATGGGGAGACCAAGACAAACCACTGTCAAGGAATAACCCAAAAAGCTTCGCGCAATCTTTGTATTCAAGGGCATCACCAAAGTTACCAAGAACGACCCGTTTCCGCGTAAAAGTCATGGCACAAGTCTTACAAGTAGAGAACTTGAACCCATGATCGCTGGGCCAAGATGACACGGCATCAATTGCAAGTTGAAGCAGTGGTTGAAGGAGAGACCAATCATCACCCTGACAGCAAAGGGTATGATTATCGACATACAGAGCGGAGAAGACACCGGAAGGAAGAGAGGAAACAAGACCATTGAGGGCAAACACAAATAGTACTGCTCACAACACTACCCTGGGGCACACCTTCGTACTGCCGAAAAAACGCAGAAATTGCGGTACCAAGGCGCACCAGAAAGGAACGACGGGAGAGGAAGCTCCAGAGAAAAAGAGGGAGATGACCACGAAGGCCAAAACAATGAAGTTGACATATCTCATCATATCGCCAAGTGGTCTCGTAAGCCTTTTCAATGTCAAAAACGACGGCAACAACGGAGGTCTTCGCAGCAAAAGCAGTACGAATATAGACCTCCAAGTTCACAAGGACATATGTGCTGCGGCACTTGCGGAAACCAATTTGAAAAGGGGAAAGGAGGTGGTGGTCTTCCAGGAACCACATCAAACGAACGTTACCCATACGTTCAAACAGAGTTTGCAGACAACTAGTCAGAGCAATAGTGAGAAAGTCCTTAGGAAAAGTACCCAGACCACGGTATGCGAACAGGGAGGACAACGGCATCGAGCCAGTCCTCACGGACTGACGACGACTCCCACTACTACAGTTCTACGGGACCAAGAGTATGCCTCCTCAACCACCCAGGCGTCAAAATAGAACAACTCCAAAGCAAGAACCACAACAACCAAAACCTCACCAGGAAACGGCAAGCAGATAGGAGAAGAGGGGGGAGAAAAACGAAACAGGCAAACGTGCCCAGCAGAATTGGAGAGGACGGCACTAGGAGCACAAGGCTAGAAAAGGACAGAGGACTGTCCCAAGGAGCATCACACTCCACCAGCCGCCCACTAAACACCCACACAGCAACAACGAGCTGAGCGGGGGAGGGGGTCGTATCTTTATATTTGCAAAGTCCTTTCAGTTAGTCACGGTGTGGGTCGCGGGATCCTTGTCTTCAACAATATTCTGGCACCGCCGCCTGTGGTTCCGTTGTACGTCAAACTCCGCTGCCTCTCATTCCCTCTACCAATCAACCATGATTATTACCATCACCTTCAATCTAAAACAAAAAGGTAAAGATTGTCAATGTTAGTGCAAAGGTCATTCATAATACATCAATTATCATTCAGTTCTGTTCACTCAAAATACAACACCTTAACCTATTTACATTTCCTATTTCATTCCCTTTTACATTTTATGATCACCTACATTCACCTCTGATTTACATTTATGACATTTCTATTAAATACTTCGCTTAACATTTATCTTACAAATTATATACCTTATTGCCTACAATGCCTCATTCTTATTTTATTCAATTATTACCTACAACTATATATTCATTTATGATTCACATTTTCTCAATATATCTACATCAACTATTTCTTATTCGTTCACCACATATCTACTGCCCTCTATGAGCACAGTAACGACGCCCCTTCTACGCGACTCACCCACCCACATTCCTCGGTAAATTTACATTATATACACACAAATTTAATAAATAACTATTAACCAAACTATATCCTCAAGTACAACAAACATTTCCAACATTTTGGTAACATTTCGTACCATACGGAAGAGACGTCAACTTCTGCATTCAACACTTCCAGGTTTCTCTCCCTAAACTAGCTACACACACACTTATCAACGTCTTAGGTACTCAAGCCTCTCACCTGCGAAAGTACATTATAGTTTATGAATGTTGATAATGCTGAATATAGACATTACTCATCACCAGTACTATATCAAATACACGCAATCTTCGCAACACTACAGTAGGGGGGGGGGGGCCCATGCAGAGCAACGCCTCAAGGACACTATCAAATGCTACATACAGACTTAAGTAGGGGCACATGCTGGTTCGTTTCATGACACGATCTGTGCGTGTTGCCTGCTAAAATTAGTCTTGTCGGCAAGCTCTCTGAGCGCTTCTTCACCTACATTTCACCATCTATCGATGTCTATACACGAATACCATTCATATATACACACACACACCGCTGCTTCAACACCTTTTCCACCATAATAAATATTTATATATAATTAAGTGTTACGTCTAGCAAGGCTGGGTCTTATCACAACTAATAATTATACTAGATATAATGATAACTTAAACAACTATTTAAATACATATGTACGACGTAAAATTTCTTCAGGCGGGGGGGGGGGGTCTACCTCTAATGATTATAAAAATTATAATCATTACAGGTAGACAGGGATGTCGTGGGGGACCCCTGAAGTCTTTGTAATTAGCTGCACATTAGAACACTACTTGGTGATATAATTTTCATGGATTATGTGAATGCCACTTCTATGTGTTCATTTGCATGTTTATGTACTGTGTTGTGTGGTAAGTCAGTAGGTGTGATTGCTGACTGATTGCCTAATGATGTCATTAGCATTTGGGGCATGCTGACGGCATCATTATGTTGCAGGTTTGTGCAGTGTTGTTATCAGTTTATACAATATTATTGCCCCAGGAACTGTGTTGAGGGTTTAAGGGACCTCTAGGATTATTCAGGGGAATTCACAGTACTTATTGAGAGCAGGCAATTGATGGGTTAGTTGCCTGGCTGAGGTGTGTGTGTTCACAGTATTCCTTTGCAATCAGGTGCAAGAATTAAAAGAGAGGGAGGGCAGTAATATTAGTATATTTGTGTGTGTTGCACAACCGTGTGTTTTTATTGTGTGGGCACAGTAATTAGCGAGTTGCAGTAGCTGCAACCATATGTGGGCAGTGCTGTTTGACGTTGCATGCCATTATAGTGTGATCTATGTAACGCTGGGGTTACTTTGTTTCTTTAAGTTATGTTGAGGACTTAAGGATTCAGTGAGTTAATTAAGGGGTAATTAACTGGATAAGGGGTGCACACTTAGTATTATGGAGTGAGTGAGGGCTGTTATAAGAGAAACAGTGTTGAGCTAGAATGAGATACGTCTCGGGAGCAATTATTTGTCCATGTGACAGTTAATTGACCACTAGCTAATTATGTAATTAGCCTTCTCATCATGAATTCACGTAGTGGGAGAGGTTCTGTCAGAGTGTCAGTACTTGTGTTAACGTAATATGCTCGAGACTAATTACCTTCCAGGGGTATAGCAATTAGTGGCTCATGTTAATTAGTGGAGTAATTAGCATTGGAGAGCTCCGGTGACTCGGTAAAGCGAGGTCATGGAGCTAGCATAAATCGTTGTATTAATCATATCCTGTCTGAGGACAGTGGATTATTGGCACATCTTGTTAATTAGGGTAATTAACTCCTTTCCCGTGAATTCACAGTGTTTGATGAGACCTGCTTAGGCAGTGCGGAGTGAGACGTATTTATGGATGATTAATTATCGGTCCTGGTGACAGTTAATTAATGGCTCAGTAATTAGTGGGTTAATTAGGGTAATTAACACTCACTCGTAATTTTTTTGACACGGACTGTGGCGAAGCTACCAAGTTAGGGTAGGCTTAGTTAACGTAACTCAATGGGGATGTAATTAGTGGTCCGTTAGACCTTAATTCAGAATTACTCACTGAATACTTGCAAGGAGTCAAGTGTGGTGTAATATGTTGAGTTATTGTTAACAAGAGAGAGACAAGTGTTAAAGATTAACGTAGAGTATCATGTTGTTGTGTAGTGGGAGACAATTGTTTGTGATTACCGTAGTACTTTGACTGATCGCAGCAGTCAGCAACAATTAATGTAATTAATCACTTCAGGCAATTTCTTTTGGTTGTCGTCTGGTGACGAGAGTAGAGTCATCTGTGGAGCTGTGTCCCAGAATCCCGCCTTGCCTGTCTGTATCGGGTTACAACAGGCCAACTTCTTAGTGGGAGTTGCAAAGTGTGTTCACACTGGGTTGTGATAGGGGGAAGTCACTGTTGGACTACCCGCGTAGTTACGTGGGTCTCTCCTGGGGGGCAGGAGGACCCCTAAGTTTGTGATTATAGTAGCTGTCAGGGAAACCGTGACACTATTGATTGCCTGCTTGTGTCTGTTTCAGTGGATCCTTCATTTGTTCAGTTAGTTCATGTTGGCAGCCTGAAGTGTCAGCAAGATGGAGCCTGCTGTCACTTCTCGAGGGGCTGTTGAATAGCTGTGTTGCAAATGCCACTTGATGTACAATAACGTAACCATTCGCTGTGGTGTAACTTTGAAAAATATCACAGACTATATTGCGTCAGTGGGCACACCTGTGATCAGGTTAATTCAGTATGCAGCCTCACAGCAAGGGTTGCTATTTAGCTGTTTGTTATCGTGCCACTGGATGGACATTAACGTAACGTAAACTCTGTAATGTAGTAAGTCTTGTTATTAATAAATTGGTATGTTATAGAAAACGGTCTTTGATGTCAACCCTTCAACCATATTATTCCACCATATTTCTGCATATTATTAAATGTTGATGTGATCTTGATAAGGCGGCTGTTCTTGGGAATTCGAATTCCAATTCATAGCGCCACATCAAATATAAATATTTGATTGTGAGAACCCGTCGGTTACCCTTTATTAGTTTTAACGTCCTGTTTAACTAGGAGGAGCCAGCGGCCTATTGTGGACAGGTTTTCACCCTTGGTGGTGGAGGCCTGGCGGTTTGCTCCCCCTTTTCTTTTTTCTACTGGACTCATGCTTAACTGCCGTGAGCAGCCTTTAAACTTGTAGTCCACCTCCTAAGGGAGGTAGGCGTAGAGAAAAACCTCACAGGATACATCTTGAAATTAACATACCCGCCTCAATGTCACGGCCTCTTCCATTACTCTGGACGGTCGCGTTGCTCCTCGTCGCCACCCCACGCACGTTTACCAACAAATAGACACGTCATCGCTCAATTCAGCACATCCCCCAATCTCTCAACACGCTCACATCCTTGAGGTTACCTTGAGGTGCTTCAAGGCCTTGGCGTCCCCCCCAGCCCGGTCGTCGACCAGGCATCCTGGTTGCCGGACTCATCAACCAGCCTGTTGGACGCGGCTGCTCGCAGCAAGACCTACGAGTCACAGCCTGAAATCAATTTCCATTTTATAATGCATGAACACCTCCATTAAATATAATGCATAATATCCTTCAACTTAACCTTTAAAATATTTCCTATTATGCCCTACAACCATCTATGAACACTAGTAATGGCTTGACATTTCATTCAGTGCGATATTTTTCATTCAGTGCGATATTATCATTAATATATAAACAATTGTATATCTGGAAAACAAATACATTCCAAAACATGTCTTCCACACCTCTGACGAGTGCTTCTTTGACATCAAAGCGCACCAATGACCACCCCCACACAGCACCATGTTTTCTATACATACAACTGCAGTCCTAAACTAGATATTTTAAATTGTTGGGGTTTAGTCATCGCGCACATTAACCCCATAACACTCATTTCCTCTGTTACAGTTCTGCCTACCCAACATTAACTGCTCAACAACTACCTACCACTTAAACCTATATCGCCACATTAAGCGTCAATGTTCCATGGGGAGACATCTCTTCCTAGTACGAGGTCCTCCATTAACAATACAAAATCAACTAAACACCATATACTTACTACTACACATGATAAACAGCCCGTGGAGCAATAGCTGAAGTTCAACCTGAAGTTAAACACTTTTCTTCCTCATGCTAAATTGTAACCTGTTGCTTTCAATTCGGCCTATTCTACTATTAAAACATTCTAAAATCCCTATCAATATATACACCCCCTTCACACCTCACGTGTACCGTCGCCACTGGCCTATACATTCAAAAAATACTGCCACAAGCCTCTAAATATTTGTAATTTGCACTGCATTCATTCTATGTATAAATACATTCTTCTAAATGTTTAACAGCTCTTCGTCCTATGAGGTCACGCTTTTTTCATGCAGGATCATTAACAAACTATTTGATTCCTACTATAATGGTTACTACCAGCTCTACGTCAAACCCCGTACAGATAAATATGTCTACGGCACTACGAGGACAGCAACCCCTCTCGTACATCAAATTATGTACGATGGAAACCAGAACACTTTAAAGTGCCCATTCCATGATTGCCAGGGGGGGGGGGGGAGGAGGGTGGAGGGGGGTTGATAGTGCGGTTGGATAGCCAACCGCACTATCAACACATTTTAAAGACACGGCCCGCGCGATTTCTAAAGCCCAAAGACTATCGACAGTTATTCACTAGACTTAAGCACTTTCAAGAACCAACTGCGTCCTCCACCCCAAACTAATTTGTCTACATCACAAAATGCTAACTGACAGTTTAAGGCTGTATTTTCAATTAAAACACTCGCGATGATACCTGATATGGCTGTAGTAGTGGTCAAACTGCCACTGGGGTATTTAACCACCCGTCAACCTCACCATTACCCGCCAACTCCGCTATTCAAAAACCCAAAGACACTTATCTATTCCATTCCGCCAATCTACTCCATCCTTTGTTTTACATTTCTTTTTAACATCTAATTGGGAGTAAATACCATCCACCACCGCCTATCCTCATCACGTACATTGTACTTATAAAGTGGGTTCCGATTCAATATACTCTACTGCGTTACTCCCGCTAAACTTGCCTTAGTGCCAACATTAGCTGTTAAAGCAAGTAGTTAATAAACACCTATGTCAGGTACGGTTCAACACTTAAAGGACGTTATGAGGCTTTCGAAGTCTTTATATGCCATCTTATATTGCCTACTCATCCTATCTATTCTATTTACCCTTTACGAGTCTTATTACTCCCTACTTTGTGTTATTGTACCCACTTCTCCCTGCAACATGGGAGACTAAATATTTACAGGTTAACCAATTTAACCTCATCGTTGACAAACAATACAATTTTTTTTAAAACCAACGGACGATTTCCATTTCAACTTCATTATTTAATATTTCACAAACTGAACATTAACCCGTGCCAAACTACCTTCCTCTCAACTTCAACAGTATTCAAGTTAATATAACTACTCTCGGCCCCCTAATACGATATTCAAACCCGACACACAACATTAACACTCCTTTAGTCTAGTAACGTGACCGAACTTACAACCTATCCCCACCCACCTATCTATGACAATTCGACCAAAGACGATTCAGACACTTACTGCAAAGTCTTCACGAACACTGAAGTTCCGCAAATCTATCCGGTATTACCTGCAACAAGGCAACAGTTACTGGATGCTACCAATATAAATCATTCAATCATCCGTATACCATACCTTTGAAACGTCTACTTACCATAAACTATTGTCTCTGATGTACCTCATTTAAAATGCAACTTCAACGCATATATCCCACCTCGATAGTCAACTGGTGTGACAGCTCTTATCTGTGGGTTGCCCCCCGCCCACTCGCCAGATACTATTAACCACTTCAATCTCAATACATACAAAAGTATGTGCTCGTCCACTATTTAAGTACGGTTTCGTAATAAAATATTACCATGCCTAACAAATTACCTAATAAACAACTACTTGCCTTACCACATATGATCCAGCTATCAGTAGCACATCTTGCTAAACCAAAACATCTGCCACCACCTTCTGCTCGGCTGCCACAGGTCTCACGTAAATCATCGGTCCACCACTGGTCCCATCACAACGTTAGTTTCCAATCTTCATACCTCACCACTAGGTAAATTTCATGCAAGGCATATTCCCACCATTACCTCATTCACTAACAATACAACTGAAAAACAATTTAATTCAGTATGTAATTAAAAAATTTTAATATTTCAGGACAAATATCTGCGTATACTCCCTCAAGAGGGTATATACGCCAGATTTAAATTATTTTTGACCCTATGTATTCGCGTTTTGACGGTGTACAAAATCAGTGTAAGCTAGGGGGCTGTCAGCCCTAGCGACCCCAAAAGGGTAACGGGGTACCAGCTCAGAGTAACAACACGCCCTAACACTAACTTGTACACTCGTACTTTGCGAATACTAGGGTCAAAATAACGTTCCGTTGCTCCTCGCCTAGCAGGTCGACTCAACAGCCAATCACGTTCCGATTTTTCACTTCACGTCACATTCTCGCACGCTGTACTGTCATTGGTCGGCTCCTCCTAATTGCATACTCCAGTAATTCATGCACATTATTTAGTGACACTTAAATATGTATACCCAATGTATGAGAAACATACATATACCAAATGTATGAGAAACAATATTTTACTTTACACTCACAAATGATGACTTTCGATTACTTACTATTAAATAAGTATTATTATAATTAGTATATAATAAGATTAATTATTCAACCTGTAACTACACTCAAACACACTACAGTATAGTACAGTACACTTATCTACTTACGGTCCGATACATTACACTACTATACATTACACTACTGTACTGTGGGAAAAACCTGCTGGGATTGATATAAGAGGAGACTACCAGGGACTTGTACTGAACTAAATTAAAAAATTACTGTCTGCAAATTAATTCAACTAAAATCTCTAGCTAGGGTTGTAAATCCTAGATCCTCTTTTCCTAATGACAAACTGTGGGCTGTAAGGGACAGGTGGGGTGAATGACTTAGTTGATAGAAGTTCCAATCCACCTGTAGACAGGGATCTCACATCAGCTTGTATTTTATACAAGGATAAGATTTAATAAATTCAGTTATCTGACTGAACACTGGCTCTGTTTAAATCAGAGATTTAAACATACATAGTCTAACCTAGTACCATAACTTAACAGCCAATATGTACTTATACTATAAACAACAAATTAAATTGTAAAAGTATAAATAAATGACCTTAAATGTAGTCTAAATACTGTCAAGTACTAGAAATTATATTCAATTAAATGAACTTATATGATAACTTAAAAATTAACTAAGCAAGCTATTGATAACTTAATTTATATATTCAAATATATATGCAGACATATTCACTTTATACAGTTAGCTTGACTGAATCTCTTCCAAGACTGTGGACACTTGTGAGGTTTTTACTTATTGAGGCTGAATTCTTTTCTAACAGAATGGACACTCATGAGGTTCAGTGCTTGGATAAGATTCACAGCTACACTACAATTTTAATAAACGTACCGTGAATGAGGCTTTGCCTCGCTTTTTAACCAACAGACAGATTTATAGGATATTAAAGTTACACAAGCATACAATTGGCCAATCATACACCAAATAACCTTCAATATACTTCTCTGCCAGTCGGGGTGCCTGTCTGACAAGTTTGCCAGACTGATTAACTCTCTCTTGTTGAGTTTAGGCACGATATTTTGCTACAGCGTTGCTGTATGATGATCTGGTAGCGTTGCTACGTGATTATCCTGCAGTTGCAGAAGAATGATTCGAGATAAAAGTTTATGAATGAAGGTGGAGGAAACCGTGTCACTGATCTCCACTATACACTCTATTTTATGTGAATGTTCACGGATTTTCCTTGTAGATATTGTCCAGGTACTCCCCCAGTTCTAGAGAGTATTCACTGGCGATAAAAAATATTAGATAAGGTGTCCTTGAGCTGGTAATGTTCGCTAAGGATCAGTCACTTGTTCACTCTTTTGTAAACAAACGCGGAGTGCCGCGAGGCATCGTCGTGGGCGCTTCTCGCCCTCCCATCGCCCTACCATGCTCTCTGAGCACGGTAGCCTTCAATGAATATTGATTGATTATTTTTACAGTCTAGACTTATGATTGAAATAAGATGTGATTATAATATAATTAGATATAAGATTTAAAGATTATAAGTAGTATTTGTAAGTACCACTGAATCTTATTAAGGATTTGATTTTTAATCCTACCGGATGTTGAATCAATGTTCCAATAGTTTTTTAATTAAGAAGTCCTTCTAGAAGCTTCTGGATCCTTGAAAGATCATGTACAAAGTCACGTAGGCATCAAAAGGGCCCCTGTTGCGTACGTGTTCATGGTGCCATTGTCATCCAGGATCAAGCTATAAAATGATTTTGATACGATTTAGATACGATTTTTATATGATTTTGATATGATATAGAAATTATACATTTCTTAGATGATTATTAGATATGGTGGGTAAAAATTTCCCACATCTTCCAGAGGGAGAGAACTGGCACAGAGTCCAATACTTAGGACAATAGTAACCATATGTATTTATTTACTCTCCATTGGATTGATAATACAAGTGCAAATTTTGCTTGCACTTTTGTGCTGCTGTCCGTTGTGGACGATTGTGTCTGTTTGGAGTCTGTGGGTCTTGTGGAGTTAGAGTGTCTTGAGGTCTCTCAGGATCTAACTGCAGCTGGCTCACTGATTCCATGTGGATGAGTTTGTCCAATGTCTTCAGGGAAGTTGTTCCTTTGGACAGGATTTTGACTATTCTCAAAATCCCCTGACTATCTGGATGGACTGAGACAACTTTACCTAATGGCCAGTCAGCCCTAGGGCCATCACTGTCTACCAAGACAATATCGCCAGGTTGGAGATTAGCTATATTATGGGGGACATTGGCCCCATAGTGATGTTCTCGTAGAGATGTAAGATATTCTTTTGTCCAAACATCATTCCATTTTTGGATTATGCTGGACAGATGATTATACCCCTGAACCAACTCGCTCTGACCCACATATGAGGGATCTCTGATCTCATCATCCACTAGAGATGGTACTGGAGTCAGAAGTCTTCCATACATTAGGTGGGCAGGACTTAATGGCTCATGTTGAGTAGGATCCTCAGACAAGTAAGTCAACGGCCGGTTATTCACCCTTGATTCTATTTCCGTGATTACTGTCTGGAGCTCTTGAAGATTGATTTTCTGACGGTGTAGAGATTTTCTCAAGGATCTTTTTACAGTTCCTATTAACCGTTCATAAAATCCTCCGTGCCATGGGGCTCTCGGAGGGATAAATTTCCATCTGCAATGACGCTGTTCCAGTGTGGAAGTAACTGCAGGATGGGAACAGATTTCCCGTAGACATGCTTCTCCAGCTACCAAGTTTGCTCCGTTATCTGAAATCATCAGCTTAGGGCATGATCGGCGTGCTGCGAATCTGCGGAAAGCTTGAATAAATGATTGAGCAGTCATATCGGGTGTTACCTCTAGATGTACTGCCCTGGTGGTAGCACAGGTGAACAGACAGATGTATGCCTTGATAGGTTGCTTATCTGCAGTCCCTGTTAGATATATTGCTCCTGTATAATCTACTCCTGTCGTTTCGAAAGGTTGTAGATGGACCACTCGTTCCTTTGGCAGGGGTGGTGGCCCTGGATAAGAGCAAGTTCTTGCATCGTACCTTCGGCATATCATGCAATTCTTCAAGATTGATTTGACTGACTGTCTTCCCTGAGGAATCCAGTACTGCTGTCTGATTTGTGTGAGTGTGTCTAACACTCCTCCATGTTTGATGATTTGTTGATGTGTATGTAACACAATCAACCTTGTGATCCAATGATTTTTTGGTAAAAGCCATGGATGCACGGTATCTAGATTGATATCTGCGTGTTTAAGTCTCCCTCCACAACGCAGAATGTTGTGATTTTCTTGGTCTATCCACAGACCGAGATTGTGTTTTAACTTATGCGGAAGATTTTCATAGTTATTCCCATAAATTTCTCTCTGGGCTTGTCTTACCCAATAGATAAGTGCATCAGGAAAAGTGTATTTTATCCCTTTTTTCCTGAGATAATGAAACACGTTCTGTGTTACATTGATTAATTTGATGAGCGAGGAGTAACGAGTACAATCCAAGACTGATATTTGAGCTTGCTGCCTGGTGGTAGTTATGGTTTGTGTCGTAATGACGTGTGGCTTTTGTTCAGGCCAACTACCATTCACTAACCATCGAGGCCCATGAAACCAAATATCTGCCTTTGCAAACTGTTTAAATGTCATACCTCTTGTTAAGAGATCAGCTGGATTATCCTTTGTTGGTACATGCAACAATTGAAAGCCTGCGGAAATTTCTTTAATTTCCGAGACGCGATTTTTTACATATGGAGTTGGACAGTTGTCGTTTCGTACCCATTGTAAGACAGCTTCATTGTCAGACCATATAATGACATCTTTGATGTTCATGGTAGACAAGACTTGTTTGATATGTACTGCTAAGCGTGTACCAGTTAGCAGTGCTGTTAGTTCCATCTGAGGCAAAGTCCTCTTTTTTAATGGAGCGACTCTGGCCTTAGAGGTGATAAGATATGATTGATTAGAAGTCACTAAGTAAGCACAAGCTCCAAAAGCTTTGGCTGACGAGTCTGCGAATACATGTAGTGATACTTCTTCATTTTCCTCGACTATGTGTCTCGGAAAGATTATCTTTTCAACTAAAGTTTGTTCTTGAGCCACTTCCATCCAAGCTTTTTGTAACTGGATTGGTAGTGGATCATCCCAACCAACCTTAGCCTTCCATGCTTCTTGCACCAATAAACGCCACTTGATAGTCAAAGGATTTAGTAGACCAAGTGGGTCGAATACTTTGCTAACTTGTGAAAGCAAATCCCTTTTTGTAGTGATGTTGTAATTTACTGGCACAGATTTGATCGATATTGTGTCCGAGATTAAATCCCAATCCATACCTAACACCTTTTGTGATTCTGGTACGTGATATTCAGGGTAATCTCTTGCTATTTGATTATTCAATGTTGCATTATTAGAGGCCCAAGATTGTAGTGGCATGTTTGCACCTTGTAGCTCCTTGTTGGCCTCTTGATATAATTGTAACAGTTCAGTAGTACTGTTAACTGTCCCTTGAAAATTATCTACATATAGATTTTGACTGATTTCAGTCTTACAGGGACTTGATGATTTCTTCAGATGAGTATCTAGAGTTGCTTGCAATAGAAATGGACTGCTTGTCGCGCCGAAAAGAACTGAAGAGAATCTGAAAGTCACTACAGGACTATTGACATCTTCTGGGTTCTCTACCCATAGAAACTTAGTGAAGTCTCTATCTTCTTCCTGTAAGCCAACTCTTAGAAAGGCCTTACTTATATCTGCTG